TGTTTCAATTCACCTTCTAGATGTTTTAATTTTTAGGTTTTCAATTTTTCCATCGATGTTTCGATTTTCCAATTTTAGAATTTTGCAATTTTTTTGATTTCTCAATTATCCGATTTTTCAATTTTTCGATTTTACAGTTTCACAAGTTCTCAAGATATCAGTTTGAGTAAATTTGTTCTCATTGAGAACTTGAAAATTTAAAAACTGAGAACTCCAAAAATTAAAATTTTCCAATGTTTCGATTTTGCAAATTTTATTTTTTTTTTATTTTCCTATTTTTCAATAAGATTTTGATTTAATTTAGTTTTTAGGTGTTTTAATTTTTCAGTTTTCAATTCTGTCATTTTTGATTTTCAGTTATCCGATGTTTCGATTTTCCAATTTTCCAATTTTGCAATTTTCGGTATTCTCAATAATTCGGTTTTTTACAATTTTGCAATTTTTCGATTCTTCAATTCGATTTATCATTAATAAAATTTCGCAATTTTTTGATGTCTTAATTATACAGTTTCACAAGTTCTCAAGATTTCAGTTTGAGTAAATTTGTTCTTAAAAAAACTTAAAAACCTGAAAATTAAAAATCGAGTAAATGATACGTGAAAAATTGGGAACTTGAAAATTTAGAAACTTAGAACTCGAAAAATCTAAATTTTCCAAGGTTTTGATTTTACAATTTTGGAATTTTTCTATTTCTCAATTATCCGTTTCTTCAAATTCAAAAATCGAGAAGGTGAAAATTAAAAATTGGTAAAAATAAAAATTTTACAATATTTCGATGTCTCGGTTTTAAAATTTTGCATTTTTAGATTTCTCAATAATTCGATTTTTTAGTTTTACAATTTTTCATTCAGTTTTCTTGGTTTTTGAATTGTTAAATTTTTCTATTTTGCAGTGTTTCGATTATTATCCAGTTTTATAGTTTTGCAATTTTTCGAATTTTCAGTTTTCCGAATTTTTGATTTTTCCATTTTTGATTTTTATCATTTTCCCCATTTTTTTGGTTCTGAATATTTTAATTTTTGGATTTTCTAATGTTTCCGTACTTCCATTTTACAATTTGAAATTTTTCTATTTTTCACTTTTGCGATTTTATAATTTCTCAAAATTTCAGTTTCAGTAAATTTCTTCTTATTGAAAAACTGAAAATTAGAAATGAAAAATAAAAAATTGAAAACTTGAAAAATAAAAAATCGAATCACTTGCATTTTTCAAAATTTCAATTTGAACTTGAAAATTTAAAAACTAAGAACTCGAAAAACTGAAATTTTCCAATGTTTTGATTTTAAAATTTGTCAATTATACGATTTTTCAATTTTTCGATTTACATTTTTAAGTTTCATAATTTTTCAAAATTTCAATTTTAATAAATTTGTTCTTATTATAAAACTGAAAATGACAAATTAAAAATAAAAAATTGAGAACTTGAAAAATTAAAATGGAAAAATCGAAAAATCGAGATTCCGATTCCTCAATTATTCGATTTTTCAGTCTTACAATTTTGGACATTTTGATTTTCCTATTTGTCAATAGAATTTTGATTCAATTTATTTCCAAGATATTTTAATTTTTCGATTTTTATTTCTTCCATTTTTGATTTTCCATTTTACAATTTTTCGGTTACTTAAAGCAATTTCTCAATAATAAAATTTTGCAATGTTTTGAGTTCTCAACTATCCAATTTTTCAATTTAGTAGTTTCACAATTTTTCAAGATTTCAGTGTTAGTAAATTTGTTCTTATTGAAAACCTGAAAATTAAAAATCGGGTAAATGAAAAATGAAAATTTGAGAACTTGAACATTTAAAAACTTGAGGACTTTAAAACTTAAAACTAAGAACCTGAAAAATTAATTTTACAATTTTGCATTTTTTTGATTTCTCAATTATCCGATTTTTCAAATTTTCGAAATTTCGATTTTTCAATTTTACAGTTTCACAATTTCTCAAGATTTCAGTTTTAGTAACTTTGTTCTTATTGAAAACATGAAAATTAAAAATCGGGTAGATGAAAAATTAAAATTTGAGCATTTTAAAACTTAAAACTAAGAACTCGAAAAATTGAAATTTTACAATATTTCGGTTTTACAATTTTGCACTTGTTCGATATCTCAATTATCCATTTTTTCAAATTCAAAAATTGAGAATGTGAAAAATTAAAAATTGGGGACTTGAAAAAATAAAAATTTTACGATATTTCGATTTTCCGCTTTTAAAATTTTGCATTTTTCGATTTGCCTATTTTCCCATTTTTGATTCAATTTAAGGATTTTAGGCGTTTCAAATATTTAATTTTTCGATTTTTCTATATATTTTTTTTAATTTGCAGTTTTCCGATGTTTCAATTTCTCAACTTTTTCAGTTTCTCGATTTTTCAATTATAAATTTTTTCGATTTTCCGATTATATTATTCAGTTTTACAATTTTGCAATTTTCAGATTTCGCAATAATTCAATTTTCTTTACAATTTGCAATTTTTCGATTCCTCAATTATTCGATTTTTCAGTCTTACAATTTTCGATTTTTTTGATTTTTCAATTTGTCAATAGAATTTTAATTCAATTTACTTCCAGATATTTTAATTTTTCGATTTTTGGTACATACTTCCATTTTTGATTTTCCAATGTTTCGATTTTACAATTTTACAATTTCTCGATTTTCAAGTTTTTCAATACGTAACTCAATATTTTACAATTTTTCAATTCCTTAAAGCGATTTTTCGATTTCTCAATAATAAAATTTTGCAATGTTTTGATTTCTCAATTATCCAATTTTTCAATTTTACAGTTTCACAATTTTTCAAGATTTCAGTTTTAGTAAAACTGTTCTTATTGAAAACCTGAAAATTAAAAATCAAGTAAATGAAAACTGAAAATTTGAGAACTTGAACATTTAAGAACTTGAGGACTTTAAAACTTAAAACTAAGAACCCGAAAAAATAAAATTTTCCGATGTTTTTCAATTATCCGTTTTTTCAAATTCGAAAATCGAGAATGTGAAAAATTAAAAATTTGGAACTCGAAAAAATATATATTTATTTCAATTTTTAGTTTTACAATTTTTCATTTATTCGATTTGCCTATTTTCCCATTTTTGATTCAATTTAAGGATTTTAGACGTTTCAGATATTTAATTTTTCCATTTTTCAATATTTTTTTTAATTTACAATTATCCGATGTTTCAATTTCTCAATTTTTTCAGTTTCTCGGTTATCAATTATAAAATTTTTCGATTTTCCGATTATATAATTCAGTTTTATAATTTTGCAATTTTCAGGTTTCGCAATAATTCATTTTTTTACAATTTTGCAATTTTTGATTTCTCAATTATCCGATTTTTCAAATTTTCGATATTTCGATTTTTCAATTTTACAGTTTCACAATTTCTCAAGATTTCAGTTTTAGTAAATTTGTTCTTATTGAAAACATGAAAATTAAAAATCGAGTAAATGAAAAATGAAAATTTGAAGACTTTAAAACTAAGAACTCGAAAAATTGAAATTTTCCAATGTTTTTGAGAATTTGAAAAATTAAAATTTGGGAATTTGAAAAAATAAAAATTTTCCGATTTTAAAATTTTGCATTTTTCGATTTCTCAGTTATTCGATTTTTAGTTTTACAATTTTTCATTTTTTCGATTTTCAAATTTTTCCATTTTTGATTCGATTTAAGGATTTTAGATGTTCCAGATATTTAACCGATTTTTCATATTTTCAGGTTGAAAAAACTTGGTTCTTGGTGGAAAACTGAAAAATTAGGAATCTCGAAAATAAGAAATTAAAAACGAAAAATTCAAAAATTGCTAAATTGCAAAATTAAAAATCGAAAAATTGAAATTTTCTGATACTTCGATTTTTCATTTAAACAATTTTTCCATTTCTATTCTATTTCTGTTCTATTCCATTTCTAATCCATTATTTCTATTCGGTTTTCAGTGTTATTAAATTTTTTACAATATTTTAATTTTTCGATTTTCCGATTTTTCAAAATTTCTGTTTGAAAAATTTTACTTGTTGAAGAACTGAAAAATTAAAAATTGCGAAACTTGTGTTAGTTTTAATCAAAGCATTCATAGTGAGGAATAAAAAATACAAATCAATGGTAAAACACGGCCTTTATCGACGGAAGAAGGTTGAACGCTGCTCACATCGCAATTTTTTGTATTAACTTGTTAAAAATTGGTCCAAGGATTCTTCTAAAATTACAGCATAATTTTATCACGAAAGAAAAATATTTATGCTGTGCAAACTGAACTTGGTCTTTGTCCTTTCAAGATTATTAACCTTAACCAAGCTTACGTTTATGCAAAACAAAACTCAAAAAAAAAATCATGCCATGTGGTTGCCCCATTTTTGTATACTAGCACCTGCAGGTGTTTTAAGTCATAAAACAAACCGGAAGTTCGGTTCGTCCGAATCGAGGTTTAGATTGTAAACTCTAAGGTTATAAAACGAACTTTCATTTACTCCAAACAAAAACCGATTAAATCGGTGCTAGTTTTCCAATAAACTTGCATTGTAGACGATTTTATGAGTACAGAGAGGTATAACTCGTACTTGTGTTTATCTTCAAGATAGCGAAGCCGGTTCTGGTTTGTGTCAGAACACACGTGGTTTCGACTCTGAACACGTGCTTGCGGACTAATTAAATATGTAATACTGGTTTTCCATTACATTTTCTAGAAGCTGAATTTTTTCATTTAAAGCAATGCTTGCACGTGTATGTAGTACGAAATCCACTACCAAGATCACTATTAAATCATAATGACGTCATTTCGCAACAATGCCACCGCCCACATGTGGTACAAACCATTAACGACAAAGAAATAAATCGCACATCGTATTTATGTTTAATTCATTCAGCGCCTTAAATTTAAAATTATGTCATTACCACTACACCTATAAAAATTAAATAAGGAAGTCGTAAATCATCACCAAAAGCGGCCATCTTCGTCAAACAGTAGAGATATGAAAATATTAAATATTTACAAACTTTTTTTCTTGCAGATGTGCCTTCGGATGCTGTTTAATCCCCTGCTGCATTGACGGTTGCATGGATGTGCATCACCTCTGCCCCAACTGCAAATCCTACCTTGGAAAATTCAGAAGATAAAGATTGAGTGCGATATTTTTTGGATGAGTTTTACTTGTATAGTCATTATTACTCATATTAATGTGCTACATATTTGTCATTAATACTCGTTAGGGGTTTTGTAACTCATGTATTTTTGTATATTATTTATTTTATATTTCTCTCTCTTGTCTTTGTAGCTGATTTTGGGCATACTAGTGCGAGGTGTTTTCGTAGCACAACATTCCTGAGCTGACTTTCATGACAAACCATTTCTACTTTTTTATTTTTTGATAGGGCTTCATTTAGACTTCTCATAGAATTTGGAACTCGACTAGTTTTGGATTTTGTACTGTTGACGTTTGATTGACTATTAGTAGGGTCAAGGTTTTGTGCAATAAACTTCCGATAGAATCAGCTAAAGGGCGACCTGTAGCCATAATTTGTAAAAATATAAATATTGTACATTTTATAAATTATTTACTTAAGTAATTTTAGTTGTTTTATTTATCTGCACTAATAGAAACTGGCGTCACAAATAATGCAGACTGTGAACCTATTGCGTATGCAGTGGTGTGATTAGAATACACAAATAGAAGTAATGGAACCCATGTCTTGGTTCTTTTTCAACACGAATTACTGATATGACAAATCTGAACTCTGAATATTTTAGTAACTACGATTCATGTTATTACAAGTATATTTAATTACGGATTGCATTATATTTTTCTAACGATACAAGGTCAGTAAATGTTAAGAATTATCTATAAAACAGAATAAAAATACCATTAGAAAGTCCAGTCATGCACCATTTCTAGCCAAGTATTGTGTGTTGCATATGAACAGGTTAACTTCACTGGTAAAACATAAGTATAACTTATTATTTTACTAAAACAGTTTTTACAACTTCTGGAGATTTTGGTGCTGAGGGGTATTCAAATTTGAAAAGATTTAATAAGATGATCTAACAGTATTAAAGAATTTTTACTTTGAGAATATTATTACTTCCCGAGCGTAAGCAAAGGAAGTATTGTAATCGAGTCCGTCGGCCGACTCTCTACTTTTACGTTTTCTCGATCTTTCATGACCCCTAGAAGACGAAGAAATAGGTCTCCCATTTCCGTCTGTCTGTCCGTCTGTCCGTCCGTCTGTCCGTCTGTCCGTCCGTCTGTCCGTCTGTCCGTCCGTCTGTCCGTCTGTCCGTCCGTCTGTCCGTCTGTCCGTCTGTCCGTCTGTTGTCCCGGATTTTTATTAGACAGATAATCTCCGAAAGTACTCGACCGATTGTTGTGAAATTTTGTACTTATATTAAGAATATCATGTAGATGGTAAAACGCTAACCAAAATTTGTCGAATCATCCCCACCACTAAAGCGGTGACGTCACTTCAAAATTGTACATAGTAAATGGGTTTTCAATTGTATAAAATAACATAGTCCTACACATGTAGTTTACAACTCTGAATCGACTTTTCACCCGGAACGTCCAGATTTTTGGAAAAAAAATCAAAATTATAAAACAACATTTTGAAATTTAATTTTTAATCTGCTAACCAGAATGCTTTGAAATGTTGCAGATGTTTTAAGGCTATAAAGAGCATCATAAATCTTTAGTCAAAAAATATTTGCTTATCCCCTCCAAAAACTTGATGACGTCAGCTCAAAAGTTTGTGGAATAAATCATATCTAAAATGTACAAAATATGATGAGTCTGTACTTGTGATCTATCACTCCATTCATATTTTTTGGATTTGCATATACAGGGTGACTCAAAAAAATTAATGAATGCGTAAATATATTTTATTGATTTAATCAGGAACTACAAAACCGAATGCTCTGAAATCTTGCAGATGTTTTAAGGTCATAAAGAGCATAATAAATGTTTAGTCAAAATATATTTGCTTATCCCCTCCAAAAACTTGATGACGTCAGCTCGAAAGTTTGCCGAATAAATCATATCTAAAATGTACAAAATATGATGAGCCTGTACTTGTGATTTATCATTCCATTCATATTTTTGGATTTGCATATGCAGGGTGACTCAAAAAAATTAATGAAGGCGTGAATTTATTTTATCGATTTAATCAGGAATTACAAAACCGAATGCTTTGAAATCTTGGGAATATTTTAAAGTTATTATAAGCATGGTAAACTTTTGTTCAAAACGTATTTGTTCATCCCTCCTAAAAAAATTGATGACGTCACCCTTAAATTTTGCTGAGTAAATCCTATCTAAAATGCAAAAAATATGATGAGTTTGTACTTGTGATTTATCTATCATTCCATTCATATTTTTTAGATTTTCTTAAGAGGTGGTTCAAAAGAATTAATGAAGTCAATTTATTTTATTGATTAAATTAAAGGCAACACTTATTATTAGTATTACACCCCAACCAACCCAATTTGGTAGACACAAAATTTGTTAAAGGAAAAACTCGGTTGAAACATAAGGGTAGCACGCTTATTTACATCGACTTTAACATTACAGACCTGCATTTGTTTTATGCGTTCACTTGATTCCGCGAATGTGAAATAGACATGTTTATAATCAACCAATTGTGAATTTCACCGTCAAGAATTAAAATAAAACCCAATGTTTTATATAATAAGCGGAAGTCGAAGCAATAAAACCGACGGTCGTTTTGTTTACAGTTTCTGTGTTTGGCTCTCACGTATGCTGTTACGCCTGTCATCTTAAATTAACAATGTTTATACATATACGATTTTCAGTTGCCTCTGATACGTAGGTATACGTGAGTAAATTGTTTCGTTATTTTATTGATTATTACAAATCAATATTCAAACGACCCAATTCATTTTCCCGAAAATTTGAGAATATAATACAGTAGACGCCGCTTAATATGATCACGGTTAATGTTATCAACCGCTTAGTGTGATCAAAATGGCTTGGAACGGTCCCACGCAATACTAATGCATTACAGTTTTTCCGTTTATTGTGATCAATATTTCGCTTATTGTGATCAGTCTCGCAATTCTTATACAAACGGGAATTGCTTTTTTGGAGAAGTGAGACGACTGAAACTGGTATTATTGTGTTCTAATGAATATTCATTGCTTTAAAAAGTACATTCGCTTATACTGATCACTTTGTACAACCACAATCAGTGACAGTTTTACGTAAATTGGGCGTTTTCGTCTTTTGAACGACCGAATTTTTTTTGTTTTAAATTAGAGTACCTACTTATGTAAAAATGAGCACTTTGAAATGACTAGATCTCAGCTTATTATCGGTGTGATTAAACACTTTGCATATTATCAAAGCAGTTGGAGATCTGAAGACAGTATGATCGCTCCCATCATGGATGAATCAGCGGTAACCTTAAAAATTTCTCAGCCAAAGGAAATCGAGTGTTCCTTTCTCAGAATGGTAACCAAAATTTAAAATAAATTCTAACGTTTATGTACCTTCATCCACAGCATAATAAACACTACTTGTTCACGATTTTATTTTGTTTCGAGGTTTTACTGTCTCTGCTGGAGGTTTTCGCTTATTATTATCAGCCGGTTAGTGTGATCAATTTGTCTGAGTCCCAAAGTGATCACATTAAGCGGCGTCCACTGTAATTTTATTCTTAGTATTACACTACATCTATGCCAACTGATATACGTGTCCTTGCAAAAATGTTGATGACGTCATCGCAATTTTTTTTTAAATTCCCACTACAAAAATGTAATGAGAAAAAAAACACAATAGGCATGCAGTCGTCAAGTTTCCGACAGCGAGGGAAGTACTGTCTAAACTCTTTAGACCAATTTTTTTTGCTTTACTTCTTGAAATCGATTCAATTGGAATTCGTAAAAAGTATACCTTAATTTCCTTAAGAGTGTAAAGTACTAACTAAGGTCATGTTATAATGTTGTGGAATCTTGATTTGAAATTTAAATTCGAAAAATCGAGAACGTGAGAAATCAAAAAAATGAAAGATCGAAAAACTTCAGAATGGAAAAAAATTAACATTCGAGAAATCTAAAAGTAGAAAAATCGTAAAGCCTAAAAACTGAAGAGTGTAAAAATTTAAAAATCGAAAGTTCTAAACATCAAATATCAAAAGTTGAAAAGTATAAAAATTGGAAATTCGAGTAGCGAAAATCAAAAACTGGAGAAATGAAAATATCCAAAAGTAAAAAAGCTGAAAGTTCGAAAAACAGAAGAATGAATTGAAAAATTGAAAATCGAAATGTGAAAAAAAAGAAATATCTAGCAACTGAAGAATGTAAAAATTGAAAAAATTAATTGAGAAGTCGATTAATTAAATGTTCGAAAAAACGAACATCCGAAAAATTGGAAAACCGAAAATCTAAAAATCGAAAAACCGAAAAGTCAAAAATTCGAAAATCAAAATATAAAAAAAACGACTTAGGGAAAGTAAAAATGTATCGAAAATTCTAAAATGGGCAAATCGAGAAATCGAAATTAAATAAACTGAAAATTCCAATATCGAAAAATCGAAACTTGAAAAACCCAAAAGTAAAAAAATTGAAAAATCGAAAAACTGAAGAATGGAAATTGAAAATCGAAAAACTGAAATATGGCTAAATTGAAAATTCGAAAAACTGAAAAGTAAAATAAACTGAAAGTTCTAAAAACATAAGAATGGAAAAATTGAAAAATCCAGAAATCGAAAAGGAAACATTGAAAATTCGAATACCGAAAAATTGGAAAAATGTTCGAATAAACGAAAAACCGAAAAATTGGAAAACAAAATTCGAAAATCTAAAAATCGAAAACCCGAAAAATAAAAAATTCGAAAATCGAGGTTTCGAAAAATCCAAAAATAGAAATACAGAAAAAACAATGTATCAAAAGTCGAAAAATCGAGAAATCGACGAATCGAAAATTGTAAAATTGACAAATTAAAAAATTGGTAAAGCGGAAAGTAAAAAATTTAAAACTCACATTTTGAAAAATGAACAAATCGAAAATCCGAAAATCAAAAAAATTGAAAATTCTAAAAATCGAAAAAAAACGAGGAATCGAGTGATCTAAAATTTAAAAAGTTGAAATATCGAAAACCGAAAATCGAAAATTCGGAAACAAAAAAATTCGAAATAACGGGAAAACAGAAAATGCGAAAATCGAAAAACCGAAAAATAAAAATTCCAAAATTCGAAATGCAGAAAAAACCAAGAATTGAAATGCAGAAAAAACGAAACATCGAAAGCCGAAAAATCGAAATTAAAAAAATGGACAATTCAAAATTTATTTCAAAAACTCAAAAATTGGATGAATCGTAACATTCGAGAAATTGGAAAGTCGAAAAAGTGAAAAATCGAAAAAAAGGGAAAAACGAAAAGTAAAGAATTGAAAATTCGAATTTCGAAAAACGAACAAATAAAAAAACCGAAATTCAAAAAAACGAAAATTCCAAAAATCGAAATATAAACTCCAAGAATCGAAAATCGAGTGGTCTAAAATTCGAAAAGTTGAAATATCGAAATTCGAAAATTGGATTAATTAAATGTTGGAAAAAACAAAAATCGAGATTTCGAAAAATTCAAGAACTGAAATGCAGAAAAAACGAAACAACGAAAGCCGAAAAATCGGGAAATCGAGATTAAAAAAATTGAAAATTCGAAGTATCAAAAAATCGAAAGTCGAAAAATCGAAAATTAAAGCGAAAATCAGAAAAATTTGGAAAGCCGAAAAAGTGAAAAATTCAGAAATTGGAAAAGCGAAAAATAAAGAATTGATAATCCGAATTTCGAAAAATCAGTAGATCGAAAAACCGAAAATAAAAAAAATAAAATTCCAAAGATCGAAAAAAACGTCGACGAATCGAAAATCCAGTGGTCTAAAATTCGAAAAGTTGAAATATCGAAAACCGAAAATCGAAAATTCGATTAATAAAATGTTCGAAAAAACGAAAATCCGAAAAATAACAAAATCGAAAATCGAGATTTCGAAAAATCCAAGAAACGAAATACAGAAAAAACGAAATATCGATGGTAGAAAAATTGAGAAATCGAAATTAAAAAAATAAAAATTTCGAAATATGTAGGTATCGGAAAATCGAAAGTCGAAAAATCAAAAATTGAAAAAAGTCGGAAAAGTGAAAAATCGAGAAACTGGAAAAGCGAAAAGTAAAAAATTGAAAATTCACATTTCTAAAAATGAACAAATCGAAAAACTGAAAATCAAAAAAAACTTGAATCCAAAATCGAGTGAATTAAAATTCGAAAAGTTGAAATATCGAAAACCTAAAATTGAAAATTGGATTAATTAAATGTTCGAAAAAACGAAAATTCGAAAAATCGGTAAACGGAAAATTCGAAAATCTAAAAACCGAAAATCGAAAACCGGAAAAATAAAAATTCGAAAATTGAGATTTCGAAAAACCCAAGGTTCGAAATACAGAAAAAACGAAATATCGAAATTCGAAAAATCGAGAAATCGAAATAAAAAAATCGAAAATTCGATGAATTGAAAATTGAAAAAGCGGAAATTTGAAAGTCGAAAAACTGAAAAATGAAAAAAATTGAAAAGCGAAAAGTAAATAATTGAAAATCCGAATTCACAAGAATGAACAAATCGAAAAAACGAAAATCAAAATCGACGAAAATTCCAAAAATCGAAAAAAAATTCTAGGAATCGAAAATCTAGTGGTCTAAAATTCGAAAAGTTGAAATATCGAAAATCGAAATTTCGATTAATTAAATTTTCGAAAAAACGAAAATCCGTAAAATCAGGAAACAGAAAATTCGAAAATCGAAAAGCCGAAAAATAAAAAATTCGAAATCAAATTTTAGAATTGAAATATAGAAAAAACGAAATACTGAAAGTCGAAAAATAGCGAAATCGAAATTAAAAAAATTGAAAATTTTATATATGTATTGAAAAATTGAAAGTTCGATGATTCGAAAATTGAAAAAGGGAAAATTCGAAAAATCGGAAAGTCGAAAAATGTAACAATCGGAAAAGTGAAAAGTACAAAATTGAAAATTCAAATTTCAAAAAATGAACAAATCGATAAACCGAAAATCAAAAAAATCCAAAATTCCAAAAATCGAGGAATCGAAAATCGGGTGATCTAAAATTCGAAAAGTTGAATATCGAAAACCGAAAATCAAAAATTCGATTAAGTAAATGTTCGAAAAAACGAAATTACGAAAAATCGGAAAACAGAAAATTCGAAAATCTAAAAAGCAAAAAACCGAAAAATAAAAAATTCTAAAATTGGGATTTCCAAAAATCCAAGAATTGAAATAAAGAAAAAACGATATATCGAAGGTCGAAAAATCGAGAAATCGAAATTAAAAAATTAAAAATTCGAAATATGTATCAGAAAATGGAAAATTCGATGAAACAAAAATTGAAAAAACGAAAATTCAAAAAATCGGAAAGTCGAAAAATTTAAAAATTGGAAAAGTGAAAAGTACAAACTTGAAAATTCAAATTTCTAAAAATAAACAAATCGAAAAACCGAAAATGAAAAAATCCAAAATTCCTAAAATTGGAGAAAAAACCTCGAGGAATCGCAAATTGAGTGGTCTAAAATTCGAAAAGTTGAAATATTGAAAACCGAAAATCAAAAATTGGGTTAATTAATGTTCAAAAAAACGAAAATCCGGAAAAGCGGAAAACAGAAAATTCGAAAATCAAAAAATCGGGATTTCGAAAAATCCAAAAATCGAAATACAGAAAACACGAAAAATCGAAAGTCGAAAAATCGGAAAGTTAAAAAATTGAAAAACTGAGAAATTGGAAAAGCGAAAAGTAAAAATTGAAAACTCAAATTTCGAAAAAAGAACAAATCGAAAATTCGAAAAATCGAAAAAAAACACAGAAATCGAAGAATCGAGTGATCTAAAATTCGAAAAGTTGAAATATGGAAAACCGAAAATCGAAAATTCGATAAATTAAATGTTCGAAAAATCGAAAATTGAAAAATTCTTCCTATAACTCTAATATAAAGCGTTGATAATTTCAGAGTACTAGATTTAGCAACTTCAAAGTTAAATTGTAAAATGTTATACAATTTTGATTTTTTACCAAAAATCTGGACGTCTAGGGTAAAAACTCAAAATAGATTCATGAATTACACATGAAGGAGCACGTAATTCTGTAAAATTTAGGGAACATTTACTAGTTATTAATAGGCAAAATTGTAAAATAATAAAATTCAAGTATGCTCGGATATGTTTAAATGGTTGCCTATTCACCACGAAATTCCAATGACACCTATACAGCCAACCTAAGCACTCAAAACCGACTGCGTTTCGCCTCGTCAGGTTGGCACCGATGACAGGTCGGTGACGTTGGCCTACGTGTCTTGACGTTCGCCCCCCTCGCGTCAAAACCATCCGACAAGAGAAAATAGTTCACGTGTCGCAACAGACACGAACAGTTCGACACATATACAACCAAGATGGTAAGTTTCTGACTGAAATCCAGATCGAAAATGACGTTTATCAACCCTTCAGCCAGCTCCAGCCAGTTCGACCACCGTGGGGTCCGTGGGCAGGTCCCCTTCGAAAGCCGTAGCGCCGCGGTCCAACGCCGGCAGCACCGTTAGACAGAGGAAGGCGACGACGACGACGGTGGCCCCCAGGAACAGGAACACGGGAGCGGGATCTGGGGGAATGTGGAGGTTCTACACTGATGATTCCCCAGGAATTAAAGTGTAAGTGGGTTTTTAGGGGTTTTTGGGTTTTTTATAATGTGAGTTTTGCAGAGGGCCTGTGCCTGTGCTCGTAATGTCTCTGTTGTTCATCGCGTCCGTCTTCATGTTACACATATGGGGAAAGTACACTAGGTCATAGGTTGTCACCATTCCTTCTTCCGTTATTAATTTAATGCATTTTCACGTATTCTATTTTTTATTGTTACATTCGGGATTGTAGGAATAAATGTTTTATAAGGAAGCTTTCTCTTTTTGTTCATTTTTGTTAGATTAATGTTAATGTTTCTTTATACTTTATATAATTGTTTTAAGTAACACAAAACTTTTTTGTGAATTTATAAATCTTTTTTTGTTGTTTGATTATAAAAATATGAAACGTATTTATTGTCTTAAGGTATTTAAATGATAATGGTTTATCAAATCGTTATCTTCTCAATTTTATTAAAAAAAAAAATGAGTGTTTCAAAAGATAATTTGAATCGTCAAAATGAATGACAAATTTTGGGATTTTTAAAAGTTCGGTTTTGAAATCGTCACCCACACTTTTAATAAATTTATAAAAAAGCATTTTTATTGAAAGTACATCCTACTTAGACTGATGATAAGAAAATTGCGATGTATAGTTATTTCATGTCCAACTGACATGGTCTCAAGAAAACCAAAAAAAAAAAAATAGATTTAACTTCATTTCTTTTATAACAAATGATTCTAATATAAATAATTGGATGGAGTATCCTATCTAAAAAAAAAAAAATCCACTCTTGGGAGTAGAAAGTTTCCAGGAATCGAGTGCTTCAAACCGCAATTTGGAATCTCGTATCATTTTGAAGTTTGGTCACGGTAAGTTCAAAAAAAGACTTTTTTTAGTCAAGGATAACATGATCCTATATTTTGATTCTTTCGAAAATGCTGCACCGTCATTATCAACAGTCTATATTTTTGGAATCAGCATGTCGAGATCTACGTCCCCGAATTTTTTCATAATTTTTAGACAACTTTTTAAAAAGTCAAAATTTTTCCAATGGTCCCCCCTTCTTCAAATTTCGGTGAAATTTTGACATTTTCGAAACTTAACTAAACACATTTTCTTGTAGATTTCGAGCTCTAGAACTCACTTCCGGCTTCGTTTCTTTGATAACTGCAACCGTTTTTCCGGAATCGACCGTTGAAATATCGAGATTTTTAGAAATCTTCAAAAATTCGCATTTCGTACCGATTCTTTCGAAACTGCTGCTCCGTCACCATCAACAGTCTATATTTTTGGAATCAGCATTTCGAGATCTACGTCCCTGAATTTTTTCATAATTTTTAGGATAACTTTTTAAAAAGTCGAAATTTTTCCAATGGTCCCCCCTTCTTCAAATTTCGGTGAAATTTTGACATTTTCGAAACTTAACTAAACACATTTTCTTGTAGATTTCGAGCTCTAGAACTCACTTCCGGCCTCGTTTCTTTGATAACTACGTTTTTCCGGAATCGACCGTTGAAATATCGAGATTTTTAGAAATCTTCAAAAATTCGCATTTCGTACCGATTCTTTCGAAACTGCTGCTCCGTCACCATCAACAGTCTATATTTTTGGAATCAGCATGTCGGGATCTACGCCCCTGATTTTTTCCATAATTTTTAGACAACTTTTTAAAAAGTCAAAATTTTTCCAATGGTCCCCCCTTCTTCAAATTTCGGTGAAATTTTGACATTTTCGAAACTTAACTAAACACATTTTCTTGTTGATTTCGAGCTCTAGAACTCACTTCCGGCCTCGTTTCTTTGATAACTGCAACCGTTTTTCCGGAATCGACCGTTGAAATATCGAGATTATTAGAAATTTTCAAAAATTGGCATTTCGTACCGATTCTTTTGAAAATTCTGCTCCGTCACCATCAACAGTCTACATTTTTGGAATCAGCATGACGAGATCTACGCCCCTGATTTTTGCCATAATTTTTAGACAACTTTTTAAAAAGTCAAAATTTTTCCAATGGTCCCCCCTTCTTCAAATTTCGGTGAAATTTTGACATTTTTGAAACTTAACTAAACACATTTTCTTGTAGATTTCGAGCTCTAGAACTCACTTCCGGCCTCGTTTCTTTGATAACTCGAACCGTTTTTCCGGAATCGACCGTTGAAATATCGAGATTTTTAGAAATCTTCAAAAATTCGCATTTCGTATCGATTCTTTCGAAACTGCTGCTCCGTCACCATCAACAGTCTATATTTTTGGAAACAGCATGTCGAGATCTACGTCCCCGAATTTTTTCATAATTTTTAGACAACTTTTTAAAAAGTCAAAATTTTTCCAATGGTCCCCCTTTCTTCAAATTTCGATGAAATTTTGACACTTTCGTAACTTAACTAAATACATTTTCTTGTAGATTTCGAGCTCTAGAACTCACTTCCGGCTTCGTTTCTTTGATAACTGCAACCGTTTTTCCGGAATCGACCGTTGAAATATTGAGATTTTTAGAAATCTTCAAAAATTCGCATGTCGTATCGATTCTTTCGAAAATACTACTCCGTCACCATCAACAGTCTATATTTTTGGAATCAGAATCTCGAGATCTACGTCCCTGATTTTTTCCATAATTTTTAGATAACTTTTTAATAAGTCAAAATTTTTCCAATGGTCCCCCCTTCTTCAAATTTCGGTGAAATTTTGACATTTTCGAAGCTTAACCAAGCACATTTTCTTGTAGATTTCGAGCTCTAGAACTCACTTCCGGCCTCGTTTCTTTGATAACTTGAACCGTTTTTCCGGAATCGATCGTTGAAATATCGAGATTTTTAGAAATCTTCAAAAATTCGCATTTCGTGCCGATTCTTTCGAAAATGCTGCACCATTACTATCAACAGTCTATATTTTTGGAATCAGCATGTCGAGATCTACGTCCCTGAATTTTTTCATAATTTTTAGACAACTTTTTAAAAAGTTATAATTTTTCCCTTCTTCAAATTTCGGTGAAATTTTGACATTTTCGAAACTTAACCAAACACATTTTCTTGTAGATTTCGAGCTCTAGAACTCACTTCCGGCCTCGTTTCTTTGATAACTTGAACCGTTTTTCCGAAATCGACCGTTGAAATATCGAGATTTTTAGAAATCTTCAAAAAGACTGATGACTACGTATTTTAAGAAAAAAGAGTCAAAATATAAGCCCCACCCACCCGCCCGGTCTCAATTGTGATGATTTTTTTTATTGGTCGTGAGCCAAGAGGGCGGAGCTTGATTGCAAAACCCTTATTTCGCTACAAGAAATTACCATGTAAAACATCACCAGGTCTTTCTAATTCTAAGAAATAATTTTATTAATATTTGGATTTGATAAGATAATACTTTTGGCATTTTTAACACTTTGGACCATTTTTCAACTACATATATCTGAAAATTAGTTGAAGACATTTTCGCTTTCGTTTCTTCGGAAATTTCTACCGTTTTTCGAAAATCATTAATTGAAATACAGCAATTTTTAGAGTTTCGCCAAAATAGCTCTCTATAAAAATTTTGTGGATTAAAAAAATTATTATTTTTAATTTTATTTCATTATTCTATTATTCGTTTCCACTCCCATTTGAGAGAAGAACAAAATTAGCCCCGCCCACCCACCCTGTCTACTTTTCAGTGATGAATGACTGCACAGAAACAAAATTAGTTGTTAGAATGAGAGGAGGGTGGGTGAGCCGGGCTAATACTTGCTAAGATAAGACTGATTTTGGCAAATCACTTACCTTCCAAGACAATAGAGGGTGGGTGGGCGGGGCTAGTACTCGCTAAGATAATAAAGATTTTGGCAAATGACATATTTTCCAACAAAATTGAGGGCGGGGGGGCGGGGCTAGTACTTACCAAGATAAGACTGATTTTAACAAAAAAAGTTACGATTAGAGCTTTTTTTTACTTTTTCACATCCTAGATTCTATAATTAGGTTACATTCCCACTCAACAGAAGAACCTAATTCGCCCCGCCCACCCACTCGTCTCCTTTTCAGTAATATGTACAGTAATTTTTAGAGTTTCGTCAAAATAGTTCTCTATAAAAATTTTTGGACTGAAAATAGAAATTATTATTAATTTTTGTTCCATTATTATATTATTAGTTTCCACTCCCACTCGACAGAAGAACATAATTAGCCCCGCCCACCCACCCTGTCTCCTTTTCAGTGATTGAATGAAATGAATGATCTTATACTAAACAGAAACAAAATTGGTATTTAGAATGAGAAGAAGGTGGGTGGGCGGTGCTAGTACCTGCTAAGAAAGACTGATTTTGGCAGATGACATACCTTCCAAGAAAATAGAGGGTGGGTGGGCGGGCTAAGTATTTGCTAAGATAATAATGATTTCGGCAGATGACATATTTTCCAAGAAAACGCAGGATGGGTGGGCGGGGCTAGTATTTGATAAGATAAGACTGATTTTAAGAAAAAAGTTACAATTAGCGCTTTTTTACATTTCCACTTACAAGAACATAATTCGCCCCATCCACCTAGCCTGTCTCCTTTTCAGTAAAATGTACAGTAATATTTAGAGTTTTCGTCAAAATATCTGTCTATAAAAATTTTGTGAATGAAAAAAGAAATTATTATCAATTTCTGTTCCATTATTACATTATTGTTTTCCACTCCCACTAGACAGAAGAACATAATTTTTCCATAATTTTTAGACAACTTTTTCAAAAAGTGAAATTTTTCCAATGGTCCCCCCTTCTTCAAATTTCGGTGAAATTTTGACATTTTCGAAACTTAACTAAACACATTTTTTTGTAGATTTCGAGCTCTAGAACTCACTTCCGGCCTCGTTTCTTTGATAACTCAAACCGTTTTTCCGGAATCGATCGTTGAAATATCGAGATTTTTAGAAATCTTCAAAAATTCGCATTTCGTACCGATTCTTTCGAAAATGCTGCACCGTCACAATCGACAGTCTACATTTTTTGAATCAGCATCCCGAGATCCACGTCCCTGAATTTTTTCATAATTTTTAAACAACTTTTTAAAAAGTGAATTTTTTCCAATGGTTCCCCCTTCTTTAAATTTCGGTGAAATTTTGACATTTTCGAAACTTAGCTAAACACATTTTCTTGTAGATTACGACCTCTACAACTCACTTCCGGTCTCAGTTTTATACCGTTTCGAAATTAGATGTCGTTAAGGGGGAACGCTAAATGAGAGACAAGTTTGAATTGGGCGCCATTTGTTGCCTTAAACGCAACCAGCAATTCTTTAAATCTACCTGACGCGCTGGGATAGACACTACCGGGCGTGGGCCATAACAGCGTCCTAAGCCGATAATGCAGAATAATGATAATTTATGACAGGCGGCCCACAACATACCTTCAGCGCAGAAAATCATTTCTCGTAATCTTTTGACATATTAATTTTAATATTCGAGATAATTATTATATTATTCAAACACAATTTAGACACTGTAGAGCAAACAAGTCTTACCAAGCCCGTCTATTAGTTTATTCGCCTAAATGTATTATTAATACCGTTTTCAAATTACACCAAAATTGAAAAATCGAAAACTTAATAATTGAAAAATTGAAACATTTTAAATGAAAAAAATCGGTAAACCGAAAAATTAAAAAATCTATAAATCGAGAAATTGAACAATCTATAAATTAAACAATTTAAAAATCGAAGAATTGGAAAACCAAAAAATCTAAACCGAGAACTTGAAAAATCGAATAATCGAGAAATCAAAACATCAAGGAAAACAATAAAATTAACGGAAAATCTAGAACTTAAAAATTGAAAAATTAAAATACCTATCGAAAAATAGAAAAACCGAGAAATCGAAACATCAAAAATTGGAAAAATTGAATAACCGAAAATTGCAAAATCTCAGAACCGAAATACTGAAAAACTGAAAAAAGGAAGGAAAGTTGAAAAATCGAAAAAGTGAAATAATTCAAAACTGAAATCTTGAAAAACTGAAAAATGGAAAGAAAATTGAAGAATCGGAAAAGTGAAAAAATCCAAAACTGAAACATTGAAAAATCCAGAAATCGAAAAATTAAAAAATCACAATTGAAGAAAGAATTGAAAAATCAAGAAATAGAGAAATGGGAAAATCAAAAAATCAGTTAATCGAAAAATTTAAAAATCGTAAAACTGAAATATCGTAAAGTTAATAAATTGAAAAACTGAAAATTTTTGAAAAAAAAATCGTATCAAAAACTAAAAATTCAAAAAATCGAGAAATTGAACAATCAAAAAATCAAAACATTGAAATCCCAGTAAGTTGATAAATAGGAAAATTTAAAAAACAAAAATTTTAAAAATCCAAGAATTGAACAACAAAAAAAAAATGTAAGCCTGAAAACTCAGAAAATTGAATGGTCGAGAACAAAAAATCTAAAATTTAAAAATTCGATAAATTGAAAAATCATGGAACTGAAAAATCGAAAAGTCGAGATAGTGAGAAATCTAAAAACCTAAAACTTTAAAAACTGAAAAATTAAAATATCGAAAAATTTAAAAACCGAGAAAACACAATAAAAAAAAATTTGAAAAATTGAAGAGACGAAATATTGCAAAAATTCCAAAGCTGAAATATTGAAAAACCTAAAAATGGAAGGAAAATTAAAGAATCGAAACAGTGAAAAAATCCCAAACTGAAACATTGAAAAATTGAGAAATGGGAAAATCAAAAAAATTGGTCTAAAGAGTTTAGACAGTGCTTTTTTTTTCACATTAATTTTCAAAGCATTCGGTTTTGTAGTTCCTGATTAAATAAATAAAATAAATTTACGCATTCATTAATTTTTGGGGTCATCCTGTATATGCAAATCCAAAAAACATGAATGGAATGATAAATCACAAGAAGAGACTCATCATATTTTATACAATTTAGATAGGATTTATTCAGCAAAATTTTGAGGTGACGTCATCAATTTTTTAGAGGGGATAAGTAAATATATTGTGATTAAAACGGTCTTGGTTTAATAACAAAAAAATATTGTTGGCCTCTAAAACAAGCTCGTCTTAGACAAAGTATTCGTAAAAAAATATGTCGTAAAAAAATTTACGTATGCTGGTTCCGACTGCGATTATGGTTTAAATATTTTTTTGAAAATCCTGTCATGGATGTAGAAACATTTTTGACAGCCAAAGAGGTTTTTTTGAGAAAATTATCTTTGAATTTAGACCAAATTGAAATAGACAGTAGGCAACAGGCACATTTGGGCAAAAGAAAGAGAAATTAGAGTTACGGCTTCAAATTTTGGACGAATTTACAAACTTAAACCGACTACAGCAATAGCTAAAACTGTGGAGTCTCTGTTGTACAGTACATTTAGAGGTAATAGTCATACATACTATGGACAGCAAAGTGCGGAAAAAGCTGTCAAGTGTTTTGAAATAAATAAAAATATAAAAACTGAACGGTGTGGCTTGTTTATTTCAAAACAATTTCCTTACTTGGCTGCTAGTCCAGACAGGGTTCTAGAGGATAGGAGTGCATTAGTCGAAATTAAATGTCCTCCAAAATCGCAAGATTTGTCTCCCGAAGAAGCGGTTAGAAAAAAAAAATCTAATTTTGTACATTTACAGACAGAGAATTGAAACTAAAAAAAGAATCATGATTACTACTTTCAAGTCCAGGGACAAATGCTTGTTACGGGTATTTCACAAGTTTATTTTGTTGTATGGACACCCAAAGGAATAAATATAGAAAAAAATTATAAAGACGAAGAAATATATGTAAAAAGATGGCAGATAAACTTGGCAGATTTTACTTTGGCGCATTATTGCCCGAAATAATTGATTCAAGAAGAAAGAGGAACCTGCCTTTGCGAGAAATTTTTTTAAAATAAATAAAATTTGTTTCTATTTTTTTATGTACTTTAATAATTTATTAGGAGTACATTTTTCATCACCAAGACTTGCATACATATTTTTATTATAAATATATTTTGAAAATGATCTCTCGGCAAATGAAAACATTTACGAGCACTTTTTTCGAGTAAATAATGAAGGGAGAAGTTACTGGGCGTAGGGCTTTTTTAAAACACCTCCTTTCTGGGATAAATAGTAGATACACTTAGCTACTTATACGTGTTAAACAAAAGCTGTATTTTATATATTTTTTAATATTATTATAAATATGTTTATTAGTTTTATTAATTAAGAAAGCAAAATATATATTAACAATAATATTACAATGATTTTTTAGTAATCATGTGTATTGAATTCAGGATCCTGAGTGGAGTAAAAATATTATAGTTCCCCAGTTTTAATTCGGTTTTATGATAGTACCTCATTGCGTAAAAGTTATTTTCCTTAACAATAGATTACTACGGCCGGTCCTGGCGGCTTGTTATAAAACTGAGTTCCTTGCCATAAATTAGAAAAATCAGCCGAGAACTCTAACAATCAGCTTATGGTAAAGCGGGCGATAAGGGTTTTACCTGGAAAGTCGTTTCCGTAAATTTTAGTGGCGCTCCTATCGGCAAAGTACTGAATTAACTGCTCAAATTCTGTCGAATTGATACCCATTTTTTTCAATAATTGTTAGTTTTTGTTAAAAACTCTGCTAACCAATAGATCATTAATTTTCCTCTGATATTCCTGTTAAAATTATTCGACGTATTTTGCATTAATTTGTGGTATATTTTGATTTTAATAAACACATTATTATTTCAACAAATTGTACCACTACCAAACATTTAATGACTCTGCGCCCTGTAAAAAGTGATGTTTCATCAATGTGCGAATTTTCAAGCGATTCTATGATGGTTATGACTCAAAAAACTTGAAAAGAAAACATACAATGGTGCTTTTTTTACGATATTTCTGAGCCATATTTTTTTAGTTGATTGAACTGGTCTCTGCGCTCTAGAATATGAAAAAAGTTGCAGTTTGATGTAGATACATCTATATTAATATCATTTTTTCATACAAAAAATCAAAAAAATTTTATACCTCGTCTAGCGAGTCTCCTTAAGTTTGAGAGAGACACTAGCACTCTATGAATGGGGTGGAAAGGGCTAAAGATGACGTCCTGGAATTAGATGCTGGTACGTACTACCAATTAGGACCTCAGTGCCAGACTGTTTTTCAATTTAATTTCCCGAAATGATTTATATATGTACTTAATTTTGAACAATTTATTTTAGATTTAGTTTAAGCATAGGCAATCAGTAATACACACATGTCTCAAACTCCTTTCCAACTTTTTTTGGATATTTTTGTATTATGAAACGACACACCATCGTTGGAAGAATTTGAATCGGTAGAATTATATCGGACCTATTTATTGTGGACCAAAAAAGAAAGACTAAGAGTTTAGAAATTAAAGAATAAATGACGCCGATCTCCACAATTTTAATTTACGATTGATTTGTATTAATGAAAGTGGTACATCCGCATTTCGAAAACCTGAATTTCTAAAAACTATTAGAGCCTAGAAATGTCGAAATTTGAAAATTCCATACAAAGGTGTCAAAAATAATGGATTCTAAGAAAACGTGGTTCAGTAAAAATTAAACATAATTTTCATTTGTGTTGTATAATCTTACAGTTTTGTGTTTTACGAGATATCAGTTCAAGCGTCACGGGTTGACTCACACCCGTGAATGATTCTCAGAATAGTCATTTTCCAGAACGTACTCGACATTTCTCGTTCAATTTTCGCGCCACAAGTCTCCAGGTGTGGCAACCCCTCGGCACACGCCTGCCACTCCGTGCGCACGCGCAGTACTCAAGGACTTTTAATATGATTCCCGTTTTCGCCGTTTAATTAATTTCCTTTTTGTGTTTTATTTATTTTCGAAACTGCTTGAAACGAAAAATGTGCTTGTGAGAGCTCCCCGGCCGCCCGACCGCGACAACCCGTGCCTACGTCCCGCCTCTCGCCCGCCAGGAACTTATCAACGAACCAAAAAACTCCCTCGGATGACATTCATTTGATACCTCTCAAGCTGTAAGGTTAGTTTTAATTGTGTCAATTTTTTCCGCCGTGCCATAAATTCGTCAGTGAATCCGCTCTCGAAATCTATTTTTGCGCGCAATGGGAGCCCGATCGTGCGTATTTTTGGCGCTGGTCCGATAAGCGCACCCAGCTCGACCCGTCACAATGGTACGATGGTTTTCACTTTCGTCACGCAGATTTTAGTTAGCATGTGTCATGACGAATTTATTTTTAAAATTGAGGTTGTAAATAATTAATGATTGCGTACGAATGACGCCGGCTTGGCGCGCTCGGACGCTTTGTCAGAAACGTCTTCGAAGTGATTGCTTGTTGTGATTGCAGTGCTCGAAGATGGCAGTGAAGCAGAAAGTGGTCGAATGCGTCGCCCAGAGCGCGGAAGCCAGGCTCCAGCTCATCCTGCGGACCCTTCAGGACCTCACAGCGCAAGGACTCCAGGATAAAATGTGCGCGAATATCGTGATCAGTTTGGGGACGATCCACGTACCTACGGACCCCAGCAACTACAAGCAGTTCATTTCTAGTATAAAGAGCGTCCAGGAGATCCTCACGAAGGAATGTATGAAGTATGACATGATTTACGTGACGCTGAGGTCGCTCTATCACGAGATCTCCACCTCAGAGAAGCCTTTGTCTCCCGCCATGTCGATAGTTCTGCAGCTGATCGAGGTCAAGTACATTCCCACGGCCGTGGATTGGATCCTCCAAGCCGGCTACCCCGTCGAGAATTTAAAGCGTGCCCTCCAGACCCTCTGCAACTGGTTGACGAAATGGACGTGGACCGAGAACCTCGGCCCTCTCGTCCTCACCTTCATGCAAGGCCTGGAAGCCCAGCAGAACTACGACATCCTCTCCGACGTGACCGTCGCCACGATCGAGCCCTTCTTCAAGCTCCTCATCTTGGCCGAGCACCGCAAGAGCGTGGGCCCCATCGTCCTCTACATGCTCTCCTCGATGCTGACACCAACCCAGAACAACCCCGAGGCCTTCCACAAAATAATCCCCCACATCTCTAGTGTAGTAACCCACTTGTATAAAGAAAAATCCGAATCTAGTCTAACGTACTTACGGGATATAGTAAACGTGAGTGTTTTCCTCATGGAACATTTCTCCGAGTGTTCAAACCTCTACGTCTCGGTAAAAAAGGACCTCGAGCCGTACCTGCCCACCTCTAACTACAAGCAAGCTTTAAGTGAGCGAGCGTGGCTCGAGGGGAGCCAGGCCCTCACCACGATCTACGCCTCTTCAGGGAAAGTCGGTTTGAATAATCTAGGCAACACGTGTTACATGAATAGTGTTCTACAAGCGCTGTTCATGACGAAGCCGTTTAGGAACGAGATTCTCCTGCACAATAAGGACATGACGCCGCTGTTGTTGAAGTTGCAGACGTTGTTTGCGTTGTTGCAGCATTCGAAAAGGTCTTCCATGTCTCCGACGGATATTTCGAATCTGGCGAGACCGCCGGGTTTTCTGCCGGGGCATCAGCATGACAGTTCGGAGTTTTTGGGTTATTTGTTGGACGTTTTGCACGAACAGGAAAAGACTGCTAGTTGTGGTGACGAAGCTAAATCAGGTAAGGGCGGGATTTTCCGCATTTTGGGGCGGGCACGGGTCCAAAAATTCCTCGTCACTGTTTAATATTGCATTGTTTGCGCGAATTTAATTGCCAACTTTGCGGCAAGACGAAATGGAAATACCAGGAAGTGTCTTATCTTTATATTGATTTATGTGTTTACGTTATTTGGGTTACTAATTTTTTTTTGACTAATAAACACCTGCTCTGTATTTTCAAATTATGTTTCCGCTTTAAAAATTTAATATTCGCGCAATAAAGGAGATAATGACCTTTAAAATTGAAAGATTTTTAGGCGGGCATGAATTTTAAATGAAAGGACCTATCACTGTCAGGAACACAATACATTTTATCTAGTGGAAGGCCGCATTATTAACTCCGACCATTGGTCGGGTTTTGGACGAAAAGTGGGTTAAAGATGTTGTGGTTTTTGACTTTTCCAACCCTCATTTGTGAACAAAGAGCGTCTTAAACTAATACCGCTAGAGATAAGCCGGTCCTGTTTAGACGAAGCGTGCCAACTAAATACAAAAAGGAGCCGCTATTTAAGTTGGGTGGTGTCATAAATTCGTACCTAATAAGCTTCATTGTTCGTTGACAAGGGTAGTGAAGGTGTCAAAGTCGTAAAACTACTATTAACATCTTGTGACTATACAATATGAATAAACAAGATCTCTGATTTGTTAAGAAAAGTATGAAAAACTCCTCTAGTAGGCCGTGAAATTTATTTTTAAAATGATGATGTTGGCAGCATCCACGCGTTCCTTGGTCAGTTTGACAGTTACGGTCAAATAACTGTCAAATATTCATTATTTTAAAAATCACTTACTAGGTTTCCTCCCCTAAATCTAAAATTTTTCGAATTTTTAAATTTAAAATGTTTGACTTTTTGTTGTTTCGATTTCTCAATCTTTCAATATCAAATTTTCAATGTCTAAGTTTTGGGATTTTTCAATAAATGTATTTCGATTTTTAAATCTTTTTCCTTAATTTTTTGATTTTTCAACTTTTGACGTTTCTAAATTATTCGATTTTTCGATTCCTCAATTAATCGATTTTTTAATTTTTCGACTTTTCGATTTTTCATTAATCGGATTTCTCGATTTCTCAATTTTTCGATTAATCAAATTTTCAATGTCAAAGTTTTGGAATTTTTCAGTATGTATTTCGATTTTTAGATTTTTCGACTTTTATTATTCGATTTTTCAAAATATCGCGACTTTTTAAATCTTACATTTTTCAGTTTTTTTATTTCTTGTTGTTGCGATTTCCCAATTTCTCAATTTTTTGCTTTGTTGTTTTTCGATTTTTCAATTTTCGCTTTATCTGATTTTTTAAGTTTAAATTTTTTAATTTTGAATTTTCCCATTTTTCGATCTTTAGCTATTTCGTTTCGATCTTTAGCTATTTCGATATCTCAATTTTTCGATTTCCATTTGTCGATTTCTCACTTTTTCGGTTATTCGTCTTTTCGATTATTCGAATTTCCAATTTTCTAGTTGTTTTTTTTTCAAATTCGATTTCCTTAATTTTTTGATTTGGATTTTTTTTTGTTCCTTCAAATTTATAGAACTGTTCGAGTTTTAATTGTTAATTTTTGCAATTTTTCGATTTGGAAATTTTTCTTTTTTATTTTTTTTTTCTTTCTTCCACTGTTAAATTTTGCAATTTTTCAATTTAAAATTTTAAAATTGAAAGAACAAAATTTTATAAAATCTGAAAAATTGTAAGAATAAAGAAAATGAAAAACCGAAACGAAAAATTGCAGATCGAAAATCACAGACGAAAAATTAAACAATCGACGAATTGAAAAATCAAAGAATGAAAGTTTGAAGAATTGAACAAAAGAAAAATGAAAAATTGCGATATAGAATCGACAAAATGAAAATTAAAAAATGGGGCCAATAAAAAATAAAAACCAAGACCTTGAAATTTTGAAAAACCTAAAAATTAAAAACTGAGAAAAATAAAAAATTGTAGTACCGAAAAATTTCAAATGCAGGAATGAAAAGTGAAAAAATTAGTTGCACAAACAAAAAATTATGAAATCGAAATTAAAAAATGGAAACATTGAAAAAATTAAACGTAATGAAAAAACGAAATATTGTGATATCAAATTTTTCAATTTTGAATTTTCCCATTTTTCGATTTTTAGCCACTTTCATTTCTCAATTTTTCGATTTTTCGACTTTTCGATCTTTTGAAGTTTCGATTTGGCGATTTTTCAATTTTCAACTTTTGGCGTATCTAAATTTTTGGATTTTTGGATTTCTCAATTAATCGATTTTTTATTTTTTCGACATTTAGATTTTTCATGTTTCGGATTTCTCGATTTCTCAATTTTTCAAATATTCGATTTTTTAGTATTTAGAATTTATATTTTCCTTTTTTCAATTTTTCGATTTGGAAATTTTTCTTTTAATTTTTTTTTGTTTCTTCCACTGTTAAATTTTGCAATTTTTCAATTTAAAATTTTTCGAATTTTCAATTTTTAATTTTAAAATTGAAAAAATCGATATTGAAAAAACAAAACTTACTAAAATCTGAAAAATTGTAAGAATAAAGGAAATGAAAAACCGAAACGAAAAATTGCAGATCGAAAATCACAGACGAAAAATGAAAGAATCGACGAATTTAAAAATCAAAGACTGAAAGTTTGAAGAATTGAACAAAAGAAGAACGAAAAACGGGGCAAATGAAAAATAAAAATCGAAGACCTTGAAAATTTGAAAAACCGAAAAATAAAAAATTGTAGTACCGAAAAATTGAAACATTCGGAAGTGGGGGAATTGAAAATTGAAATAATTAAAGTTGCAAAAACAAAAAATTATGAAACCGAAATATTAAAAAATTAAACGTAATGAAAAAACGAATTATTGTGATATCAAAATATTCTTAAAAAAATTTTCAATTTTGAATTTTCACATTTTTCGATTGTTAGCCACTTCCATTTCCCAATTTTTCGATTTTTCGAGTTCTCGATTTTTTGATGTTTCTATTTCACGATTTTTAAATTTTTCGATTTCGATTTCTCAATATTTCAATAATTCATCTTTTCGATTTTTCAATTTTCAACTTTTGACGTTTCCAAATTTTTGGTTTTTTCGATTTCTCAATTAATCGATTTTTTATATTTTTCGATTTTTCAGTTTTTTGATTGCTCGATTATAAAATTTTTAATTTTTCGAATTCTTAAATTTTAGATTTTTCACTTTTTGTTGTTTCAATTTCTCAATCTTTCAATTTTTTGCCTCCTCGTTTTTGGATTTTTCGATTTTTCAATTTTCGATTTAATGGTTTTCTTTCGATTTTGCGCCTTCTCGTTTTTAGATTTTCCGGTTTTTCAATCTTTCGGAATTAATTTTTCAGTTTTTCGACATTTCGGTTTTTCACTTTTTCGTTTTATCGTTTTTTTTTGAGTCCAAATTGTTCAATTTTGAAGTTTCCCATTTTTCGATTTTTAGCCACTTCTATTTCCCAATTTTTCGATTTTTCGAGTTCTCGATTTTTTGATTTCGATTTCTCAATATTTCAATAATTCATCTTTTCGATTTTTCGATTTTCCAATTTTTCGACGTTTCAGTTTTGGGATTTATTTATTTAAATTTTTCGATTTTCCAATTTTCAACTTTTGGCGTTTCTAAATTTTTGGATTTTTCGATTTCTCATTTAATCGATTTTTTATATTTTTCGATTTTTCAGTTTTTTGATTTTTCGATTTGTTGATGTTTTGATTGCTCGATTTTTCAAATAAGTCCAAACTTTTCAATTTTGAATTTTCCCATTTTTCGATTTTTAGCCACTTCCATTTCCCAATTTTTCGATTTTTCGAGTTCTCGATTTTTTGATGTTTCTATTTCACGATTTTTAAATTTTTCGATTTCGATTTCTCAATATTTCAATAATTCATCTTTTCGATTTTTCAATTTTCAACTTTTGACGTTTCCAAATTTTTGGTTTTTTCGATTTCTCAATTAATCGATTTTTTATATTTTTCGATTTTTCAGTTTTTTGATTGCTCGATTATAAAATTTTTAATTTTTCGAATTCTTAAATTTTAGATTTTTCACTTTTTGTTGTTTCAATTTCTCAATCTTTCAATTTTTTGCCTCCTCGTTTTTGGATTTTTCGATTTTTCAATTTTCGATTTAATGGTTTTCTTTCGATTTTGCGCCTTCTCGTTTTTAGATTTTCCGGTTTTTCAATCTTTCGGAATTAATTTTTCAGTTTTTCGACATTTCGGTTTTTCACTTTTTCGTTTTATCGTTTTTTTTTGAGTCCAAATTGTTCAATTTTGAAGTTTCCCATTTTTCGATTTTTAGCCACTTCTATTTCCCAATTTTTCGATTTTTCGAGTTCTCGATTTTTTGATTTCGATTTCTCAATATTTCAATAATTCATCTTTTCGATTTTTCGATTTTCCAATTTTTCGACGTTTCAGTTTTGGGATTTATTTATTTAAATTTTTCGATTTTCCAATTTTCAACTTTTGGCGTTTCTAAATTTTTGGATTTTTCGATTTCTCATTTAATCGATTTTTTATATTTTTCGATTTTTCAGTTTTTTGATTTTTCGATTTGTTGATGTTTTGATTGCTCGATTTTTCAAATAAGTCCAAATTTTTCAATTTTGAATTTTCCCATTTTTCGATTTTTAGCCACTTCCATTTCTCAATTTTTCGATTTGTTTTTCTCGATCTTTTGATGTTTCGATTTAGCGATTTTTCAATTTTTCGATTTCCCGATTTCTCAGTTTTTCGATAATTTGTCTTTCCGATTTTTCGATTTTCCAATTTTTCAACGTCTCAGTTTTGGGATTTATTTATTTAAATTTTTCGATTTTTCAGTTTTTTGATTTTTCGATTTGCTGATGTCATGTTTGCTCGATTTTTTAAATTTTTAATTTTTTGAATTCTCAAATTTACATTTTTCACTTTTTGTTGTTTCGATTTCTCAATCTTTCAATTTTTTACCTTCTCGTTTTTGGATTTTTCGATTTTT